TTCACATTCAATTACACGATACTTAATGGCTCATATCGATCTATGGGAAGTTTTCCAAACTTAAGATTTGTGCTGTTTAACACTTGTTGTTAAAATAAATTAAGATCTCAAGGGAATTAGTACATACAACAAGATTTAAATCTACTTAACACTAGTGGTCAGACATATTGATATGAAGTTTTGTGAATCTCGGTTGATCTACTGTAAGGCTGGGTTATTTACACTAACAAATTACTGAGTAGTAATGAGTAACATTGTCTAGTCTTCAGTAATAACCACTGAATAACAATTCCTTCAAACTTTTATATAATGATGATGAGTATCGACAAGCACTTAACCTTGGTTCAGTGAACTGTAACGATTATTTGCATTTACTTTAAGTTAAACAATTGGTACTACAATATCTGATACTTTAGTCGTTAGATCTCTGTAGACATTAGGAACTAATTAACATGGCAATGGTCATAATAACTCAGTACCTAATTAGAGATTAGATAAGGGGTTGTTACCCTGCTAAAAAATTTATAACTGATAAGGTAATTAAATCAGGGGAGAGGTTATTTTTCACAGGTTTCTCAAATATTACTGAAACTATTTATCACTATGAGATTGTGGAGATTATTATGTTTTGATTGAAATCATAAACCGATTGATGTTAGACCACCATTGAAAACCTAGAAGCACTGGACGGCCGTTTCGTCCTATTGTGGGACTCCTCAGCAGTGCCTCGTCCAATCGGTTCATGATCTCAATCATAAACTAATTATCTTGTTCCTAAACAGTGAATCACGAAGAATGAATAACATTCGAAATAAAGATGGTAATTTTCTAGTTTACAGTCAAGATTACATTACTTAATCTTATATTATAAAATCAGATAACTTTATAAGCGTTCAATTTATGAATTAGCTAAAGCTCTCTTAAAGAAATCACCCTAAATTTCCAATCTTAATCTAATCACGATGATACACTTTATCATCACAGAATAACTTCATCATTCTGAAGCAATAAGAACTATAAAGTATTAGAGAATGGTAGGCCCATTGCTCAATAGAATAGGCAGACTAAAGTTAGCAGTGTAGTTCAAGGAGTACACTTTGTTCTATTTAGAACTCGTTAGTTGGATTTATCTCCATTTCAGTGTTGATTTTTATATTAAACAATTTAGTAGCTATCTGAATAGCTTATTGAGAAATTGAAGGAAAAGATATTGGGTTTATTTTTCAAAGTAGAAAAAAACACTAGAATACATGTATTTACATGATGGGTCACAAATATAGAAAGATACGCGTCCTGTATTCCACTAGTAACCTAATTCTATCTATCATATAATACTTTTTGACATAATCTCTTTACTGAGTTAATCTAAACAAAATGCACATACGCCAAAATAGATCGAGACTCAACCCAGAATATCGAGAATGAGATAATTCAAACACTTACTGATGATAAAATATTGCTTCCTAGTTCTGAAGCTGTTCAGCAACATACACATACAACTCAACCAAGAATAGAACCTGAAACTTATAGGCCGCTTACCGATTCCGTCACCGTAAGCCTATTAAATGAGTAACTAACAGCTTGCATTTTCAAATCCAGTTAATTCACGATCATATAATTCATCGATTACTCATGTCCTTTATGATAGATATCACACTCTTGACAATGCTGAACTCCTCAAGTTAGATAAGTGTTGATAAAAATTCACTACAAACTTGTTCTAAATCAAAGTTACAACTCAAAATAAGTTACACCATGTATGGCGAAGTTTCATAGATTTTATCTCATACAACATTGTAATTTGTGGAAAACAAAAACATTTAGCAACATGTCAGGGTGAAATATTGATAAATATCTAATCAGGGTTTTTTTATTCCAAAATAGTTTTACCTTGATTTATTGATTAAAAAAGATCAGTGATTTAATTTTACTAAGTTGTATAAGAATTTTCAATGGTCAGTCATTGAATAACAATTGATCAATGTTAGTGTTGATTAGGTTCTGTCAATCAAGATGAAATATAGTTGCTAAGTGGATAACGTGATAGTGTTTGAAACAAATGGTACTGGGTTCGAGTCTCCAAATGAACATCAACTTTGGGATGCAGGTATATCCAGATAACAAGTCCCAAATAGGACGAGATACGTGTCCTCGATCTTACTGCTACCCACTATCCATCTTTGCTTATAATGCTTGTGACTTAAGGCAATACACACAGGATGCACATATGCCAATATGAGACTGATCAATTGCAGTTCAAAACATCAATGGATTGATTCAAGTAAACAATACCAAATGAATATATACAACATATTATTGAATTGTCCGATGAAAAGAAAAACTAGATCAGTTTTACGACTGTGTGGAAGTTTTAGATTTTACAGTGATCGTCATTGATAGTGAAAAAATCTGAATTAAAACGAAAATACTATACACTACTCTCTCATCCTCAATATTTTTCCCCTTTTGCAATGAAAATTACCGTTTAAACAACTACGTTTTATTTAAACACCTTAAAAAAATTAATGGTTTAAAACCATTTTTGTACTAACTTAAATTGAGCATATAATGAACTGTAGAGAAAAAGTTAGTAAACTCCTGACACAATGGTATTGTAATCAACCAACTACAATTGCTCCCAGAAAATAAACAGAATCCTAACTGAACTAATGGTAATTAAATCATTTAACATAGTACTAACGGATAAATAAATGAAATTCTGATTGTACAGTATTCATTTATAGTGTAAAAGTAACTAGATAAATTTGATGGAAAATACAGAATGAATTCAATTTGGTGTTCGTAATCAAATGATTATAGTTATCCCATGTATTTAAACCAAAACATTTCCATATACAGTTACTGCTCAATCAATGTACTAGTGAACTACATAAGATAAAGCCGGCAAAAGTCAACTACCTAATCACGGCATTCAGCCCAGTCCTTTATGGTGGATATCATATCTTGAACGGGTTAGTGATAGTGTATGGACAAAGGTATGAGCATTCACGAGATTGTATAGTTTCCATGGTGCTTAACATTATTAAATAGTAAATCTAAACATAAGGTTTTCTCCACAATTAATGTAAATATTTTATATAGTGTTTACTCTGAAGCAAAGTTTTAATTTTTCTGTATTTAACCAGGTTAACAAACATTGGTTTATTTTACTAAACGATCGTTCGAAAATAACAGAATATGAATTATTATTATTGAGTGTTCGATTAAAAATCTGGGATACGAACACAAGTTCGACCCGCTAAATACATTTTTCTATTTATGGTAAGATCATGCTTTTTTGGAAATTAGATCAACCGCACATCATTTAAATAAGTAATGATTCAAAGGTTACCAATACATTTACTAGAAATTCTTTGAGTTTTCATCTTTATTATTACATACTAGTTATATTATTTACTGCTCATTGTTTTCGTCAGTTTTGTGAATCAGGCTTTCTGTAAAATACATGTCACTGGTGTTTGTTTTACTGTTTGATACGATCATACGGACTATGTGCGTATATATGTTCAAAAGACTGTAATACATAGTTGATTCATGAAGTCACCAATAACTAGTATTTATTGTATACATAATTAGATCATTTTTATTCCAACTTAACTCACTAGACAAGTGAAGGATTCAGAATATCACCTTTATTTATTTAAGGGCTAATGATACGACCCAGACCCCTAACTTAAAGAAAGTGGATTACGAGTCGAATCTGGAGTGAAATAACTACCTACTGATTGGGATGCTCATAATGGCAATAAGTAGATGGTGTTTGATCATGTAACTTGGGAGCAGTGAAAATGAGGAGGAAGACTTTTCCACTCTTCGTTAGTCGTTTTATCAATGAATACCCCACCTGTCATTTCAAATGTCTCCTATGTTTTTCCACATTCTTTTATTTCGTAGTTTGAAACATTTGTCTACCGCAACCAATATCACTTCCGTGTGGTTTTGTTTACACGAACTAAGCACATAAATTATTCTATTTCAGTTGTATAATTGTTGTCCACTGGTGTACATGAAAACTTTATACGTAATTATATAACTGGCATATTACTTTAAATTTTTTCTATGCTTCGCCTTAAAACGAATTAGCGTAGCCATTTCTCATTAGTATCTGTCATATTAAGAGTCCTTCATCCACGTCTGTGCACACTATAACGTGTGTGTTCGAAGTGGCACAACTTTTAATGTATCTGGAATGTGTCTTACAATAAAATCCAGGACTTGTATCTAGAACTCGTAGGTCCAGTGCTAACGTTTGCTCGGAGGTAGGAATTCATTACCTACCTCTTTAAAATTAGGCGCCTTATGCTACAAGCTATTATCCTCAGATATCTGTCTACTTTTCTGATTGGTTTAAAACTAATAATATGGGTCATTAACTTACTGCTGTAAATATACATATAGATGTGCCAAAGCTACAGTAAGTAAAAACACCTGGAAGCAAAACTGAAGTGTACAACTCTATGGGTTGAGAAATTCGTTGTGATTTCATGAATCTTATACTTCACAGGCCAAAACAATTTTAAGACTCTGGTTTACGATTGGCAAAACGTAAGTAAAACTAATACATGACGATATATACAACTAAACTGTAAAAGTATATACTGGTGAAATCATATTTCAACCTGTACATTTGTGGTTTACTGTTATATCGACAACACTTAATTCTAATCACATAAAAATTTTGAGATCTCTTTAGCCAACTTATGTACTGATATATAACTTGATAAAATATGTTTAAAGACAAACAAACTAAAATTTAGTCGAACAAGTTTTAGATTTATTGTTGTCATAGACATATTGGACTTGGTTTTTATAGTTTGTTCAAAAATTTCATACTGTTCTTGAGATGGCCCTTGAAGTATTTATTATGAGTAATTTTACATATATTTGATTCAGTTGTATAAAGGAAAAACACTTTACTCTAACTAACGTCCGAAAAATAATCTCGCCGTCAACAACAAAAAATTAGTATTTTTACTCACTCCTTTCCCTATCCTCTTCTTAATCTCGAACATTTTTAAAATATGAGGTTCTATCTCAGCATTCATCCCCACGCACTCAATCTGCGCGGCGATTGCAGTACCAACCAACAAATATTGCGCGGATGATAATCAACAAATATGCACAAACAGTTAACAAAGGAAGATATATGCAAAGTTAGTGTGAATGTATGTGTACCTTATGGGGGTTTAAAGTTAAGTTCACTGTTACTCCAAAACATAGATATATGACATCTTGCGCGTAGCGTACAATAGCGAAATTTTACCTTAAAACGAATTATCTTCATAAAAAAATCACACTGTAATAAGTGACACTAACCTGCTAGACAAAAGTGAATGAGAATTATAGACATGAAATGTCAGTCTAAGACTGATTTTACTGCCCTACAGCCAAAAATCTGTCACAGCTTTTGACATTTTCTCTTCCTCATTTCTTGCAGTTAGTGTAAATATTTGCTTGGTAATGCCTCAAACTATACGTGTTATCAAGTTTTATGAATGTGTAAGCTATCTAACTGACTACTCATTCGGGACGATAGAATGATTTCTGTTAGGACTTTTCAGGCATCGCCTCTGACGGAGTTTAGAGTGTGGAGATAATCTGCGACTAGCCATTTATTATTACTTGCTCAAAAATGCAGGGATAGTGGTTATAAGATTTGATATTTCTGAAACATGTTGTTGAAGGTTTATCTGACCATAAAAAAATTACTTACGTAAATTACTAACGGACCGCGAACTTTGAAAGTGGTAACATTTTTTCACGTGGTTTAGGAATTCTTCGACTTGCTCCTTTGTAGGGTGTATTATACTGTGATTATCATCTTATCCTGTACATCGGGTACATCTTACTGTGAAAAATAAGGAAAAAACTTATTTTTATTCGACAGACAATTACTAGTTCGTATTGTACCTATTGCGGACTTAAATCATTAATAGATCTGCAATTTATTATATACTCATAGTCTCTAATCCTAGTATTAACCAGTTAATTACTTAATAACAACTAATACTTAGATATTATATTTAATTTAACGAGCACTGTGCTCACTTATTTTCATATCATGTCCAATAACTCCATTAAAAGACGAATTTCATCAACTTCTAAGCCAAATAAAAGGTCCAAATCTGTAATCCCTACAACTGACGACTCAGTGCTTGACAATGTCGAACCTTTAACTACTGAAAAATATGTGTATTGTACACAAATGTCCCTATCGTCACCAGATTCTCCCTGTCGCAGCCCCTCTATCTCTACGTGCGGTATGCCAACGGTAAGACTGGTGGACATACAAGACACTATACCTACGTGCATCGAAAAGTCAACACAGTCTACTAGACAATATGTGCTACCAAGGCTAAAGTCTAAAATTTCAAAAACTAAAGAGTCCAATGGTCCTCCTCATACACACCAAAATACTGATAGATATAGTAATGAAATCCGACAGCTGCAAAACTCTCTATCCGAAATTAACGGCAAACTTGAGAAATTAGCACCCCTCACTCATATATGGGGCCTTGACACAGACAGAAATCTTGAGCAACTCACTAAAGCTGAGTGCATTTTGGAGTTTGTGGCTGAAGAAGTGACGAAGAGAGTGATGTCCTCCTTCAATGCAGTTGTGTATAACCTTCCCGACCGCACACACCCATCTAAGCTAAGAGATATTTGCCTTAGAGCATGCGGTATGCCGAACGTTAACTGCAAAGTCATCCGCCTTAGAAAAAAGTCTGACAGATCGACTTGCCCCATTTTGTTTATGTTTGGCTGTTGTAACGATGCTAAGCAGTTTATTAATTCGAGCAAAGATATTAGCTCACTAATTCCATACAAAAATATAAAAGTCACTCCAGACCTTACGCCCTGTCAACGTCGTGTAAGAAGACGCGAAGCGATAGAATTGAATGGGAGTGTTACAGTTAATAATCAGCCTGAGACAGTTTGCACCACAGCAAATAGTTTAGAACACACGAACAATGAGCATGACACCACTCCACATACGGCTGATCACTCTGTTGATCTAGATGAGTCTACAGATCAGAAACCTTTGGATAAGATACGGACCCCAACTGACACCAAAAACCATAACGACATGACTAATCCCAGCTGTTCGTTCAGTAATGTACTAAAATGCGAGTCGTGTAACAACACACGTGCAACTAAACCTATACACTTGAAAATTTGTCCTCCTAAAGATATTCCACAAGTAGATTTGAATGAACGTAAGTTCATCTCACAAAGACAACGAAAGGCTCCAGCTCTGAAAATAAAGGGTGGGAAGACAAAACTCATGATACCGAGTAGGGAAACACGTAAGATTGAACCCAACTGCTCTATTGGTATCCCAAGAACAGTGAACAGGTTCTCCCCGCTGCTATCGCATAACTTGCCTTCAACACCTCTAAGTTGCAAAATGGGTGGTGGGCTTCAACGTGGCAAGCCTTCTTACACGCAGACTAACGAAAACTACCAGAGAACTGCCCACCTAAATCACCCCCTGAAGCTTAAAACCATAAATAAGAATGGTAATAATAGGTTTCTCACTCCACACCCTACCTACATTCCCCAGGATCGCAACTGTAATTACTCTCAGAAAGAAAACTCCTCATACCCTTTACTACCGACCCATCACATAACAACGGCTCCCATGTATAACAGCAGTTGCAACTCCACCCAGTTACGCGTAGCAGACCCCTCTCATGCTAACGTAAATAGCCATAACAGGGGCTACGAGTCTAACCATCAAGACTATTTTGTAAATAACCATACACTTCACAGTAGGCCTGTACAAGATTTTTTTGGAATAAGACCCCTAGTGACACCTCTGTTGAAGCATATAGCCCAGGTTATTTCAAACCACATGCAAACCATAAATTTGTTTCCTCCGTACAGTTTCCATCACAGAGTACTCCCACCCTTTCCTCCTGGGTAAACTCCCCAATCAACTTCACTAGCTCATTTGATACATCTCCCACTAAATCTAGCTATCAAAATACCGAGCTAATGAAGAACATTCAATCCATCATTTCAAACTCATCTCACACCCGCGAGGGTTACGACGACTTTATCCGAGATACCCTCACCCATTTTAACTTAGTAGGCCACTTGCTTAATATATGTCTTATCAACGCTCGGTCGATCTGCAACAAAAAGACGGATTTAGCCCTGTTTGTATCCATATATCAACAGTAATATTTCCGACCAAAGTATATCTTTTGATAACTATTTCCTGTATAGAAGTGACAGATTGAATGGACGAGGCGGAGGATGCCTTATTTACGCTCACTCTAGCCTAAACTCACTACTATGTGATATGCCTGAACTAAACAAACTGAAGGATTCGGTGTGGATTGTATTAAAGCTGTCGAATTCCGTTACCTTACTGCTCAGCTGTGTTTATCGTCAACCTAACGCATCAATAGATGATATAGCAGTATTATCGGAGGTATTCACACTAGCATCATCCCTCTCATTCACAGGCAAGCTCATTTGTGGTGACTTCAATATGCCCGAAATTTCTTGGCTGTCAGTCAAAGCGCCGAGACGTTATGAATCATTTATTGAATGTCTAGAGCTCGGACAATGGACTCAGTATGTCGATAGCCCTACCAGACATCAAAACATCTTGGACTTAGTCTTTACCAGTGGCCTCATCCCCATTACTTTGTATATTGGAAAAAAGTTCCCAGGTAGTAATCATAACATTGTCATATGCAGCCTGAATGGAAAAACCACAACCAATAGAAGCAAAACCGTAACACTTCGTAGAAACTATCGAAAGGTTGATTGGAATAACTTCCACAATTACCTAAGAAACACTGATTGGGGAACTTTCTTTACCTCAAACAATACCGACACATTAACCTATATATTTTATCACAACATCAAAAGTATCATCAACAACATCGCACCTTTAGAATACTGTAAACCTGCGTTCTCCAAAGATCTCTATATACCGGTCAGTACAAGAAGACGTCTTCAAAGACATTGTACTCGATTCCACAACTTAAATGACTTTTCCTCTTTAGTAACGATGACAGAAATACTTGTCCGAACAGAGGAAATAAGTAAACAAAAAGCAGTAGCACAGGAAAAACGTGCAGTTGAACTTAATAATAACTCCTCTGCACTCACCATACTATTCCAAAATAAACTTAAACGCTCTAAACCGAGAGGGAGTATATTCATTAAAGGCAAACAAGTATACGAAGATCCTAAACTTGTCACAGAATTATTTAGTGAACATTTTTGTTTCTCACTAACTAACAAAAAACCATTTAATGTTTCAGAACCAATCCCAGTAACTCCCTGTGAAATTACTAATGTAGAATTCAGTGTACAAAATATCTCCAAGGCAATCAGTACATTGAAACACTCATACACTGATGGACCAGATGGTATTCCATCTAGCATGCTAAAACGTGGAGGTGATGATATGTGTGTTTTGCTTCTCAAACTATTCGCGATATCACTCTCTTCATCGTGTTATCCTACTGCCTGGAAAACTACACATATCATTCCCAAAATTAAAACAGGACCTGAAGCAAACGTTGAAAATTACCGGCCTATAAACATAACTTCAGTGGTATCCAGAGTAATGGAAAAAGTAGTTAAGGCGGCTGTAGTCCAACATCTACTGACTAATAATCTCATCTCGACCTCCCAGCATGGATTTCTTAGGTCCAGATCATGCGATACATGCCTAGTAGACTACCTGAATGATATAACTATGAAACGAGACAGCGGACTCCTTGTATCAGTTCTATTCCTAGACTTTAAGAAAGCCTTTGATAAGGTCCCACACAAAAGGCTACTCGCCAAACTAAAGTCCTTCGGAATACACAACCCACTGTACTCATGGTTTGCTTCGTTCTTAACAGAACGTAAACAGATGGTAAAGTACAATGACTGTCTCTCGTCCCCTAGACCAATCACCAGTGGAGTCATCCAGGGAAGCGTATTAGGTCCACTTTTGTTTCTTATGTATATAAACGATATATGTAACACCATAGAATTTGGGAGACCATACTTATATGCTGATGATCTCAAAATAGTATACAGCTATAA